GCGCCCCGCGGGTCCATAGCCTCACGTCGTTATTGGGCCGTTTGTGACCTTACGCTTCAAGATACGCCAGAACTGACGAAATTTCCGCCCAAAGAAGGACCATAACTTGCAATTTTCCTTCAGAATTGATACGTCGCTTGCCAAAATTTTCGAATTTTGGGTTTAGGCCCTTTAGGCCCTTTGAGGCACGGGTTAAATTTTTTAAAATTTTTTTCCTTTTAGGGGGTTCATTTAGAGACTACATAGAAACTTTTTAGGGGTTGACCAACTTGATTTTCGCAAAACTCAAAAATTAGGTACACCCTACGGAGGGCCCCCAATTTTTTTTTGCAACCCCTATCTTATGATACCTCATTTGAAAGAGCATAAAAAACTAAGAATTTTGGCGCAAACTGTAGATCGATATCTTAATTTTTGACTGAGTTATGAAAGGTCAAATTTGACCTATTTTCAAAACATCATAACTCCGGTTCAAATTATCGCCAAGAAAGAAATAAAACGGGAAAATTCACCAAATTGTGTTTGCTTTTAAGTAAAAATTGCAGAAATCACTTCGAACTAATTGAAGGGGGGGAAGTTTGGACCCCCAAATACGTCAATCCAAAGGACATTCCATTTTCCCGCGAAATAAGCCAATTTCCCCTATAAGAACGAAAAAACGAAAAAAATGAAAAGTAAACGGTCAAATTTAATCAACTTAAATTTCGTTTTTTTTAACTTTTCCCGAAATATGGGGACATGCCCACGTATTGTTCAACTGAGGAATTTAGAGCTGAAGTTTAATGCAGCATCATAAACGGAGCGGCATCGGCGTGCAAGGCGGAGGTCCGGCGCGGACTTTAATGCCGCATCGAACAGTGCGCCGGGGGATCGCACTTGCCCGTGAGGCGGCTTAACCTGGTGAAGCCGACACCCGGCATGACTTTTTGATGCCGCATCAATTTTTATGCTGGGTCCAGCATCAAAATTGAGGCGGCTTCAATTAGCAGACACAACGGACGCCAGCGCCCGGGCCCGGCTGCCGGGCGGCTAATCGCACCGGGCTGTATTCAACCTTTCCTCGGCGTCCACTTCTTAGAACTTCCCGGCTAGGCGTGGGCCGCCGTGCCGATGAGAAACGTAGACAAAGGGATGTTCCGCGAATTCATCGTCAAATCCAAGGGTCACATACCTCGTCAGTCTTCTGGGCCAGCCCTGTTAGTAATGAAGGTGAGTGGAGGGACCGCAAATTGATGCCGTATCGGGCGGCAAGCCGAGGGTACGGCATCAAAAGTTGAAGCCCATGTTGGTCCCTAAGCCAGCATCAAACCTCAGCATCAGCGGATAATGCCGGCCCGGCCGGCACGCCAGCATTGGGCTTCGATGCCCGAAGCTGGCGCCGGCAGTTTGCGCGCAATAGGCGCGCCGCCGCATACTCGCAGGGTCACTACCGGGGCATAGGTACGGCATTAATGCTGAAGCTGCGAGCCGATGCTGTACGGTATAACCTCACGAGGTGCCTGTTAGGTGTGGGAAATGAGGAACAAATTAATTACATTGAAGACGCCATGATGTCTGTATATTGAATGTCCTGCCGAACCGACAACTGCCCCGGCGGCTGGGCTCACAAGCGGCGTTGTCAGGTCTCACCCTGAAAACTCCCTTTTTTTAAAAAAAAATGGACATACAATGTTTGGCAACAGCCTAGTCCACTATAATTATGCATACATAACATATAATAAAATC